TTCAACTTTTCATGATGGCACCGGTTGGGCGGTAACTTTACGGTTTCTTTGTAAGAGGTCGTTCATATGTTGTAGAGAGATCGACATCTAGAGAATCGACATTCATTTGGCTAGAGAGATCAACATGAAGTAAAAGATATAGTTATTGGGCTGATTTTTCTTATTCTAAATAAAACAGGTTGGAGATCCGACCTTAATACATCCCCCTCCCCCCTCGGTGTTTTTTTTTTTTTTACTTTTTTTTACAAATAATAGTACTAACTCCTAGAAGTGGAGAATACTACTACCCAACCAAGAGAATTAAAACCAAACAAACCTACAAACACAAATATAACTCAAAACAAAGACTAAAAGAGGAAACCAAAGGTTAAAGCCCTTTAACTAGTCATAAAAGAAATCTGAACCTCCATCCATTGACCCAACACTCGAAGGTGAACAAACAAGGAGACCGAATGTCGATGACAAATCTAGAAACTCCAGCAGATCTACGGCGCTTGACTAGAACCATACCCACGATGGACTACCCCCTCTCCAAAGAACACCAACGCAGCATGATTGGAGACCCATGACCAAACCCTCCCTCCACACCAACTGACGGCCTCGACCAGGCACGACCAAAGACAGCCCGACATCAGTGGAGACCCTTTACGTACCATACGGTTCTTATGTCTCTCAGGCCGTCTAAATGACCTCACCGCCTACTTTTCATGAGCTGCATCTAGGTTGCAACCGTGACCTTCACTTACACGACCTCAAGTCCCAAGGTCTCCTCATACTTCTGAACTCTTTAGGTTCTCCTCATACCTCAGGTCCTGAGATCAATATTTTTCTCAAGCAACTCATCACCATCATCACTACTTTGCTCAATTTTCACATTGTAATCAGAATCAGGAGTGTCGTCACTAGAGTTTTTTTGAAGAGAGTGTTCATTGCAGTCTTCACCAACAATTGCATCATCATTTGGTATTACATCCACATAAATTTCTATCTCCTTAAGAGCTAGATGCTTAATAAACCAAGGCCTAGCATCATCACCATTGAAAATTCCCTTAAAGCTATTGACACACAATACATAATGCTTCCTTATTTTTCATTTCCAACAACATCATCAGTTAAGCTATGCAGGATTTCTATGTTCATACCTTTACTATCCACATTGTCAAAGATAACTGAATCACCCCCTTATAATAAGCAATAGGTTCATTCAAAAATTGACTTCCATAGTACACAATAACACTCATTTGACCACTCCCACGAGCTATAGAAAATTAAAAATTAAAAATTATTTAACAAAAATAACAACTTTACAAATGAATAAAATATGTGTCTTATTTCCCCACATGTCTGTATAAAGCCGAACATAAAACCACAATACAGGACCACCACTTTAATTCAAACATTTTTTTTTTATCTTCACAATAGTGTATTATTGTCAACAAAAAAAAAAGAGTAAAATACGAAGAACATTAAACTGGTGCCTCATATTAATAAAAACATTGGGGGAAAGTAAAAAAGGCTTATTGTACGCAGGAGGAGAAGGGTTTGGCTTCTTGTTGCTTCGCAAGTAGATTGAGAATGTCATCAAATGGATGTCTTAATTGCTACTGTTCTTGTCCGATTTGTAGCTTCAAACATTAAGAAACTCTACTCGATTTTGGGGTTTTTTGCTGCTCAAATTTCACTCAAATATACCCTCTTTTTTCTTTGGAAGATGAAGGACAAAACGCGTGAAAGGTGAATTTTCAGATTGTTGAGCTGAGGTAGATTAAGTAGTCTGCATGCAGTCCACGCTGGAATTCTTTGTCAAATCAGGCGGAATTCGGAGCAGTTTGGCCGTAAATGGGTAGAAAGACCAAAATTTTGAAATCTTTTGGCTGCTATTGCCAAAACTCAAAGAAGATTTAGCGTTTCTTTTACAACCCGACCGAAAATTATATAAATTTTTTCACCCCGTAAAAAATGCGAAGATTAGTCTAATGGTTCGCATAAACTGTCCCTTATCAATTACATAATTATTGCATATTCACATTATAGAAAGTGAGAAGAGTTTTCGAATGTCTTTGCACTTTTAACTTCCGCGTAACGTCATTTGCACAATTGTCGCACATTGTTTTCGTATTTTCTGAGATAAAAAATTAACTTTATTAACTTATAATCCAACGATGTGAAACTTATTCAGTATCAAGAACGAATTGTAAATAACTATTTTTTTTTTTTCTAGATTTATGTGTTGGTGCATGAGACGACTTATTTTGTTGTGTATTCAAATTGGCACAAGAGATGGCCTATTCTGTTGTGTATATATGTAGCTCGTGAACTTTTTTGAATTCACATTTGAATTATGATTATTTATTTTTAAAGGATGGTGTATATTATTGTTATCTACAAATTACTTTTGTTTCGGTAGGTTTTTATAAATTGAAATATATACCCCAAAAAAAAAAAATTTATTAATTACAAAATGCATATATATAGCCTTTAAGGATAAATTAGGACCTTGTCTGTAGTTGGTCTCTAGGCATATGATTGATTCTAGTGAAATTGTAGTCACACGTTTGAAAGCAAATCAGATTTTGGTAATTTGTAGAGATGTTTTGTAGACAATTTCTAGTTTATTTAGTTGTTGGAAATCTGTTGACACAAGATTTATAGATAACTTATAGGGCTAAATTTCATTTTTAGTACATTATGTTGGCTATTTTCTGAAAATGGTCCATCATATAAGACGTCTTGAAAAATGGTCTACTAAGTTGTCATTTTAATCAAAACTCATACAAAAGCCAACATAATGTACTAAATATGACAATTAGAAACGATCACTTTTAGTACACTTACTGTACGAATTTTGATTAAATTGACAACTTAGTCGACCATTATTAATGATGCACTAGATGATGAACCTTTTTCGAAAAATAACCAACATAGTGGACCACTTTTTAAATTTCCCCTTATTTATATTGGTAATTGGTAGTAATATTTTGTAGGCAACTTATTCAAGCTTCTTTTATTTTCTTTGTTTATTTATTTATTTAATTTTTATGGATTGCGATTTAGGTAATTTGTAGGTAGCTGTAGTGATATTTTGCATGTATTCTCTAACTATTTTTTTTTTTTTTTTTTTTT